ACGGGAGTCTGAATAACAGTGGACTGGTTAACGGGAGTCTGAATAACAGTAGACTGGTTAACGGGAGTCTGAATAACAGTGGACTGGTTAACGGGAGTCTGAATAACAGTAGACTGGTTAACGGGATACTGAATAACAGTGGACACAGTGGAGTGAAACAGTGTTTTGGTGGAACAGTAAAGGGCGGCTTGTTGATGTGGGATAGGATGACGGTGACGAGTTGAAGGGAGACAGGAAGGTGACGAAAATACTAAGGCGAGACAGTGTGCCCTAGATGTGCAGGACAGTGTCAGTGTTGGGGGTTGGGAAGATGATCTTCTGAAAATACCACAGAGTGCTCATGCACTGATCCTGCAAATTCCTTCACTTGTGTCTGTAAACAATGACTTTAAAAGTACAGCAAAGGAAGATTAAAAAATGGTCGACCAGGTCAGTAGAGAAGAGAAAGTCGATACGAACAGATGGCGAGTCAACTCGTATTTACTGTTCTGGGCCTCGTGCTGAACATGTACTGGACACAGCTAATTAGTGTGAATATGGGCAATGACAAGCAGTGTAAGCACACAACAGGCTGCAGGAGCGCGCTGTAAATGTCAGAGAGCAATGCAGCAGCTTCTCCTCAGAAGTATTTGACGTAAAGCACATTATTATTTCATAGACTCTAATATTTTAACCCAGCGTGCTATTTTTGCAGTTTATAAGAAAGCAATATAGTGATATTTGGAAAATAAATGGAAGTAATGTTTCGAAGACCGGCTTCTGCAAAGGACACCAATTGAAATGATGCATGCGTATAACAACGCATACAGATAGGCAGTGAAGCTCAGGGGATGGTCCGACATTTATGGCTCACTGGTAAAGGTCCAGCTTGCAGCCAACGCAGCCTGAAGCATGACCAGCAGCGTTTTGAATATCAGTCACATGATATAGCAGCTTCTGTTGTGTCTACATGCAGAGTCATTTACGGTAAATATGTGGCCCATGGCTGCAGTGACCAATGCGTCCCGTTAGGATCCGTTTCATCAGGGCAACCCTTCAGAAACAGCTACACTGCCAATGTCAAACGGAGCAGCAGAAGGACGTGTTACGGTTTTACGATTAAAGCCATTCAGAGAAATCAGCCTGGTTTACACAATATCACGTGTTTTGGCAATATCCATCAAATGCTGCACAGCGAAATCACAGCCGCATCTATACAAATGGCTATTGCGAAGATACTTTGGGAACGGGAGATTGTGACAAACAGAATAACTTCAGTATAATAACATGCAAAACGTGAGAGTTCATATGCAAAAAATGGCATAAAATGATCAAATTATTGTTTAACTAGGAATAAAGACATGGGTGATTTAACCAGGTCTTTGTTTATAGAGTGTCTCTCACAACATCTCACTTATCACATTTCTTAATGCATCTCTTAAGGAAAGTCACCTGAAAAAGAAAGATCTGGGGAAATTAGGTGACGTTGTTTTATTTCTCATCCCTCTTTTGTTGCTTTACAGTTTCTTAAGGCCCCAAATCAAATAATGTAGCTCACTGTACACACTGTGCGTCACTGTAGTTTAATAATTGGATCATATATTTGTTGCTTTTGTCATACTAATATCTGTTATAATAAGTATGTGTGACAACATCCCCTATATGTCAATGTAATACTGAGGTTGACAATTGAACAAGTGATAATAATGTAAAAGGAGACGCTTCAAAAAGGGAATATTTGTGATTCAGTGCAAGTTCATCCATCTTCCAGCTGCTTAGCCCGGAGAGGGTAATGGAGAGTTCTAAAGCCGT